ATATTAAAGATACAAAGCAGCATTGCTGCAGTTGGAATTCCAAGCTGGCCTAATCAACAAACAAAGTGTTGGTGTTTTAAAAAAGTAATAAATACGAACAAACGTTTAGACTTATCTCTTTGTGTCCTGATTTCATAAGTCCGAATACCTGGTGGGAAACCTGACATTAAAACATATTCTTTTTGGTTTTCCACTTAAGTCAGTTTTATTGGGGGTTTGGGGGGGGGGGAGAGAGAGAGAGAAAAGCAAAGCAAAGGCAACATTTTGCAATGAAAGCACCTTCCCCCATCTGGCAAAATGGCTTTCTGGACTCTATTGTGGCTCATTGTCTAAAAATAGGATGAAGACAAATTGTTATCATTTGCGAAAGCCCATGACAATAATGATAAATGAACAAATTTTTTTGCCCTCTGAAGTCATTGCTTAAGGCTTTCTCTGGGATCAACAATGTTAAACTGGTAAACTTGCCTCATCTGCATCTGCGGAAGGTTTACAAATGGCTTTGTAAACAATTTTAGCCAGAGCGTTAATCTCTCCTCCAGAAGTAGGGCTTCCATGATCTATGATTGATTTGCAATTTAAAATGACACTGAAACCCCTGAAACAGATATGAGAGAAACTTTCAGTGAATAATGCTTTAGTTGACAAGAAAAGATAAGGCACATCTTTCATCGGATAGTGGGCTGTTTTTGATAAATATTGTTCATAATGGAGAATTTTGGAATCATTAATGTGTGGATAGGACATTACGAGTTTTTGACTCGAACCTCAGCCGCAGTTTTCCTTAGTCTTGTTAGCCAGGAAAGACTTCCACAATGTAGTGTGTGTGTGTGTGTGTGTGTGTGTGTGTGTATATGTATATGTATATGTATATGTATATGTATATGTGTATATATATATATATATATATATAAATTCTCTGTGCATAATGAGTGCCTTAAAAACAAAAGAACCAATGAATGAAATCACACCAAATTTGGCAACAAAACGTCTCACAACACAAGGAGTGACCATCACTCAAAAAGAATTATGATTTTGTCATTTGGGAGTTGTAGTTGCTGGGATTTATAGTTCACCTACAATCAAAAAAACATTCTGAACTCGGGTTGTTGTAGGTTTTTCCGGGCTATATGGCCATGTTCTGGAGGCAATTTTTCTCCTGACGTTTCGCCTGCATCTATGGCAAGCATCCTCAGAGGTAGTGAGGTCTGTTGGAAGTAGGAAAAATGGGTTTATATATCTGTGGAATGGCTGGGGTGAGACAAAGGACTTTTGTCTGCTGGGGCTAGGTGGGAATGTTTCAGCTGATCACCTTGATTAGCATTCAATGGCTTGGAAGTGCCTGGGGGGAATCTTTTGTTGAGAGTGATTTTATGTGCCTGTTTGTTTCCCTCTGTTGTTTTGCTGTTGTAATTTTTGAGTTTTTTTAATATTGGTAGCCAGATTTTGTTCATTTTCATGGTTTCTTCCTTTCTGTTGAAATTGTCCACATGCTTATGGATTTCAATGACAATACATGTGGACAATTTCAACAGAAAGGAAGAAACCATGAAAATGAACAAAATCTGGCTACCAGTATTAAAAAACTCAAAATTACAACAGCAAAACAACAGAGGGGAAACAAACAGGCACATAAAATCACTCTCAACAAAAGATTCCCCCCAGGCACTTCCAAGCCATTGAATGCTAATCAAGGTGATCAGCTGAAACATTCACAGCTATGCTGTGACATACTGTGGTTTTGTGTCAGTAAAATAATAATAATAATATTTATTATTAGCCGTCCCCTGCCACACATTGCTGTGGCCCACATGGGGGTTCTGTGTGGGAGGTTTGGCCCAATTCCATCATTGGTGGGGTTCAGAATGCTCTTGACTGTAGGTAAACTACAAATCCCAGCAACTACAACTCCCAAATGTCAAGATTCTATTTCCCCCAAACTCCACTAGTGTTCACATTTGGGCATATTGAGTATTCGTGTAGAGTTTGGTCCAGATCCATCATTGTTTGAGTGCACAGTGATCCCTGGATGTAGGTGAACTACAACTCCAAAACCAAAGGACACTGTCCACTAAACCCTTCCAGTATTTTCCGTTGGTCATGGGAGTTCTGTGTGCCATCTTTGGTTCAATTCCATCGTTGGTTGAGTTCAGAATGCTCTTTGATTGTAATGCTCTTGAGTTGCCGTTAGGCTGAGAAAGGCGGTATACAAATACAATAAATAAATAATAAATAAATCCCAGCAACTACAACTCCCAAATGACAAAATCATTTTTTTTTTAGTGAAGGACATGCATTGGGTTGTTCGGTGTCTTGTGTCCAAATTTGGTGTCAATACGTCCAGTGGTTTTTGAGTTCTGTTAATCCCACAAACGAGTTCTGTTAATCCCACAAACGAATAATCCCAACGCTGCTCATCCAAATTATAATGATGACACCACCTCTACACGTAAATGTAAACGAACATTACATTTTTATTTATATAGATGATGATGATGATGATGATTATTATTATATGCTGTAACAGACACTGAGAATTGCCAGAAAAAGTACACAACAAAACAAGAGAAACATAATTTGTATGTGTGTGTGTGTGTGTGTATGTATATATATATAATATATATATATATATATATATATATATATATGTGTGTGTGTGTGTGTGTGTATATATATATATATACACACACACACACACACACACACACATATATATATATATATATATATATATATATATATATATATCCACACACACAAACACATATGTAC